TAGTGGTAGTCTTCTTCTGCTTCTTATTGCCACAGTATTGCACCAAAAATATAGTGTAGATAGTTTCATAGTTTGGGATTGACTTGTGCGACTTTTTTTTGAAACACTCTAATGCTGCTCCCGTCAGATTGGTTGGGAATACCTTACACATGAACGGGTCATTATGGTTATCCATAGCCATCTTCTAGGAGAAGTGATCGAGGTGTCGAGAAGGGTCTCCTGTACCATTGAACTGTATGAAGATTGGCATGGTGAACTTTTTTGGCCTCTCGACTAGTTTATTTCATTAGTAAATGGAGTCTTCATTAGAGAAGCCTTGCGTTTTTTAGCCATCTCCGCTGGCGTTTGAATCCTCAAGAGCCTCTTTTCAGCGAAGGCCTCTAGGATTCAATTCGGCCACACTGTGGGTCTATGGTTGGACTCGACCTGCTTATCCCACGAGCGCTGATGGGGGTGGTTCTTCGAAGCTCCAGCTTCAGTTCTTGTCCTTTGCTCTTGCCGACTTTAGTTAACTTGGGCTTTAGGTGCTGAAGGTATAGTGTGGTTGAGAGGGACTCCTTGGGCTCCATTTGGTAGAGCGGCACTATATGGCGGTGGTTGTGCTGCCATCTGCTCCATGGCTGCCTGTAGAGCATCATTCCGCTGCTGGAGCTACACGGCTTGAGTCGTGTTGGCTTCGTTTTCTTGTCGGAGTGTCTCTAATTATTGTAGGAACTCTTCTCGCATCTTCTGCATTAGTTCCATTTGTTGATCAGCTACGGTACATCTAGTTGACATCCCAGAACGCAGTCGCATAAAAAATAACTAATCACTCGTGGGGGTATATTTTTATATGTTTCCACAGATGGCGCTAAAGTATAGGTGTAAAATTATGTTAACTCTAGCGAGTCAAAGAATAAAAACAACACACTCAATAAAAATAATCAAAACAATGCATAATAGAAATTGAGATTTTTTGATATACTTCATTGTAGGCTCATGCCTCTATTTATACAAGATTTGGTGGTAAAATTATGGTAAGACTCACCTTGCTTGCCCCCCATGATTCGTTTATCATTATCCTTTTACATTTTATTCCATATGAGTTTTCTTTTATACAGGGCTCTTTCTTCATATAGCTCCTTCCATGTAAGATTCCCTCAATATCGTGATTTGATTGATCCTTATCATGAACTATATTGGGCTGGAGAGATAACTTCGATTGGTCTTATAATGGGTTGAGGTACAGACGAAGGTTCTTTTGGGCTGGTCGGGCTAGGCCTTAAAGGTTTGGTGGCCCGAGAGAAGTGGTTTAGAACTCATTTGCTGGTGTGTTAAATTTTATTGGAAGGGGGATTTTTCCCTCCACAACTAGTGACGGGAAAGTAAAAGTGAACTTAAGTGAGAGTAATTTTCGAAAAGTATTTTAATGTGATACCCTTTAATATTTTATTTTTGTTGAGCTTTGCTTATTGATAGTTTATTTTATTATATTATTTATACGTTAAATATTTGAAATACTTAACTCTCTTATACTTTTAATAATACGTATTATAGATTAATATTTTATTTTAGTTGAACTTTGCTTATTGATATTTTATTTTATTATATTATTAATACATTAAAGGATTTGAAACATCTAACTCCATTATACTTTTAATTATAGTATATGTATAGCTATATTATTTATATGTTAAATGATTTAAAATAGGGGTGCACAAAATCTAGTGAAATCGAAAATTCAAACTGGACCGAACAGTTTGGTTCGGTTTACTAACGGTTTCGTTCATTTACAGTTCCAAATTTATGGAACCGTAAAAATACAGTTTGGTCACAGTTTGAGGTTTTTTAAGACTGAACTAGACCAAATCGAATCATTAAGATATATATATATATAAAATTATACATATAATATAATTCTACAATAGCTGAATGTTGGTGGTTTTCTAAATTATGGTGTTTGTTGTTGAATTAGTAGTTCTAAATGTATTAGCCTATTAGCAGTTTTGAAAGTGCTCACTAATGCATTTAAGTTCCAGAAGTGATAGAGAAGAATGAATATATTAGCAATTTTGAATGTATTAACTTATGTTCTGGAAATGAATGTATTACCAGTTCTGAATGTGTTAGTTAATTGGTTTATTGTTATGCATTTGGATTTTAAAATATGAATATTTATGTAATAGGGAAAAAAAAAAAAAGGAAAAGAAAAGAAAAGAAAAGAAAAAGGAACTGAATCGAATTGAACTAGTGATTCAAGGTTTGGTTTAGTTTGGTTCCTGTGGTTAAATGGTTCGGTTTGGTTCTAGATTTTCTGAAATCAATAGAAAAGGTTTGGTTTCAAAAAACTCTCAAATCGGTCCAAACCGAACGTTGTGCACCCCTAATTTGAAACACCTAACTCCCTTCTACTCTTAATAATATTATATATATATATATATATATATACACACACACACATATATATATATATATTGAAACCCTAACCTAAGATTTCCTACCTCTAATTAACCCTTTAGTCCATCCAAAATCAATGTCAAACTATGGGGTTTTCAATCCAATCTTCGTATACTTCGAAAGGAAATTATAGTAATCATGTTTGGAGAAAGAAAGGAAATGAAATAATTTAAACAAATTTACTATCATATTATTTTTCATAAATTTTGTCCTTTATATAAGTAAGGGCAAATTTGGTATTAATAAAGTTTTATTGGACACATTTTTTTGGGAGAATATAAAACAAACATTTCATACCTAATTTGTATCATTCCAACCCCTTTGTTTCCTTTATTTTTTTTTAAAAAACTATACCAAACATACTATTTCATTTCCCTCCATTAAAAAAACACACTATTTCATTTCCCTCCATTACCTTTCTTTCCTTTTCCTTCCTTTACCCTCCAACCAACAGGACCTAAGGGTGGAAATTCATGTTGCAGAATCAGATTTGTAATGTGAAAGTACAGAGAAAATGGAAGTACTTTAGGTGGGTGAGGGCGGTAGGTGGAAACTGGAAAATAGAGGTTTTGTTTACAAGTGGTGGGCAAAATAGATATTTTACATAAAATAAAAAATAATTCATTTTATAATATTAAAATATCAATGGTAAAAGATGGTTTGAAATTTGCCCAAAATGAATACTCCGTAAAATGGACCAGGATCACCTCCAGTCCCACAGTGCCCCATTTCCTCCATTTTGGGTCAATGAACAGTGCTAACCATGTTTGGGTAAAAAATATATTTTTGGAATACAGAATTTTGGTCTATATATATATATATATATATATATATATATATATATATGTATATGTATATACTATTAAAGAATACCTTTTTTGTTCCCTCCCTTATTTCTGCTTCCTCTTCCCTCCCTCATTTCAGGCGACATTTGAAATAGAAATAAAATCCCACCCTAGCCTTCGTCCCTCCCAAAATATGAATAGAGCCATTTTAGAAATTTATTTCTTTCCAAATAGAATCCAGAAGCAGCAATTATTGTGTGAATTAACCCAAAAATTGGATGCTACAAATTGTTTCCAAATAGAAGCAGTGCTTCTGTCAGTCGCAATGAAATTGCAGATTCTGATTTCCTTTAAAAGAAAAGCAGCAGTGGATTTCCAAAGCTAAGCGGGAGTGTATTTCCAAATTGAAATAGGAAATCACCTTATTTCCAACCCGAATCAGGTACGATTCATAATTTTGAGATTTGATTTTGAAAAAAATCATCTTATTTCCATAAGAACTGAATGGTAGAAACAAATATATATAGACACAATTTTGGTAAGAAACCGAGAAATAGAAAATTATTAGTGAATTTGAATTGATCGCTATTTTATTGTGCAGTTATTAGGGGTTTTAATGTTTGTTTGTGAGGATAAAAAATGAGAGGATTTGTAGGGTACATAACTGGCCAGAAAAGGGTGTTTCAAAGTGTTACAATGTTAATAAAATGTTTGATCATTGGGCTTGCATCGCAACATTTTCCTAAGTTGCATCCTAACTTTCTCCTAATAAGCATCCCAAATTTTTCCTTATTTACATTCCAATATTTTTGTAAAGTGAGTCACAACATTTTCCTAACGTATATCCCAAAACCCAGAAATAGAAAATTATTGGTGAATTTGAATTGATCATTATTTTATTGTGCAATTATTAGGGGTTTTAATGTTTGTTTGTGGGGACAAAAAATGAGAGGAGTTGTAGGGTACATGACTGGTCGGAAAAGAGTGTTTCAGAGTGTTACAATGTTAAGAAAATGTTTGGTCGTTAGGCTTGCATCACAACATTTTCCTAAGTTGCATCCCAACTTTCTCCTAATAAGCATCCCAAATTCCTCCTTATCTACATTCCAATTTTTTTGTAAAGTGAGTTACAACATTTTCCTAACATACATCCCAAAATTTTCGTAATATAAATCCCCAACTATTTGTAAAGTATATCTCAAAATTTTCCTAATGTGAATCCCAAAGGTTTCGTAAATCACATCCCAACTTCTTAAAAAGGTACATCCCAAATTTTTCCTAAGGGAGTCCCAAGTATTTCGTAAGGTGAATTCCAACTATTTGGTAACATAAATCCCAAATTTTGCGTGATATTAATCCCAACATTTTCAAAAAGTGTATGTGAAATTAGCATTATTTGGTTGGACATATATGTTCTGTTGTGGCAACAAGGATTTTTATTATCGTTTATCTAGGATATACTTGATTGATACATGCAAAGAAATGAAATGAATGAGATATATGTAAAATTTAATTTCTTATACATGTGAAAAGGTCTTTTATTTGATTGGTCATACATGTGAAAATGTTTTGTATTTGAGCCATTAAGATGGAACATACTTGGGATGTAGAAGTAAAATTATTTTTTGTTAATTCAATATTTTGTGCATATGTGAGAAAAGGTTTTGTATTTGAGGCATTTAGATGGAAGGTGAAGTAAATAATATTCAAGACACAACAAACGGACGAAACATTCCTGTTGTAGAACTGGAAGTGATTAAATGGAGACTAAGGTATAAAATGGAGTTTGATAGTAAGGAAGAGGCATATGATTTTTACAATGCATATGGTGGTCGAATTGGTTTTAGCATCCAGAAGGAGTATGGCAATAAAGTTAATATAAGAATTACATTAAAGGCGTTAGTTTGTAGCAAGGAAAGTGTGAAGGGGACTAACAAACAAGATGTATTTAGAAAGACTCCGTGGGCTGAAACACGAACCAATTGCGGTGCACGAATGGTTATTAGATATGACAAGACAAAGGCAAAGTACGTAGTTTCTAAATTTGTAGAAAGTCACAACCATCCTTTCATAATTGCTGAATGCAGCCATATAATGCCGTCCTTGTGACGACCCTGGATTTTTCAACCTAGTGCGTCCTGTGATGACCCGAACCGGATCCGAGATGCGGGAAAAAAAAAAAACACAATGGTCTCAAGAGACACAACACATCCCTAAGACACCAATGTGACACTCAATGAGGTCACGGAACCCAAAGGAAACAAATGCGAAAACAACATTTTAAAAACGGACAAGAACGGACCTAGGGGCAAAAACATCATTTCTAGCTTAAAAGTGGGTTCCACCGAGCACACCATTGGAAAAACAACAAAAAATTAATGAATTTAGACTCAGGAATCACTTGATTCGGAGTCCGGATGAAGAAGATATGGCTAACGGAAGAAGAAGGGGCAAAACGGTCCAAAAGAGGCAACCCATGAACATCTAACCGGTTAGGAGACCTTCCTAACTGGTTAGGAGACCAAGAAACATGACCAAGACACTGCCCCAAGCCATCTAACCGGTTACCAAACCCTTCCTAACCGGTTACATGTGAAGCGGGCAGTAAAGTGTAACCCAAAAACCTAGCAGCAGGGATTTTTCCCGGAAAAATGGAAATTTGAGGGCCAAGATGACATTTTCTGGAAAAACACAAAGAAGAAACCCCCTCAAAATCGAGTTTTCTACGTGTCTCCCAAGAAAAATCGAAAAAAACTCATTGTGAAATGCCCAAAATGCCCTCCCAAGAAAACTGGTCTAGAAGGTCCAAAAAGCTGCTAAATTTAAAAACTGAGAATTGAACTTCGGAAGCGATTTCCGATACCAAGATGGCATTTTCTGGAAAAACACGAAGAAGAAACCCCCCCTAAAATCACATTTTTTAAGTTACCACATGAAGAACGGAATTTATTTCCCCCAAAAAATTCCCAAAATACCCTTAGGTCAGAATATGCAACAAAAGTGAAAAATGAGTCCGTAGGAGGCTCATTTCACCAAAGAAGAATCTTTGCCCAGAAACGACCATGCACGTAAATGTAACTCACCTAATAAGATGTGCTACAATGGTCCATGGCTAAAAAATATAGCCGATACAAAATATGACCCCCCAACGGCCAAAATGCCAAAAATGAAGTTTGGAATGAAAACTTGGAATTAAAAATCATGAGATGGTTTCAAAATGCCGTTTGGCCCTTGGCCACACTTCATACATGGTGAATGAATGCTAATGGAAGAATCAAAATGGAATTCCCACACCCAATGCAAACATGGTGAATCAAAAACTCAATATTTTTCAATACTTTCATAATATTTCATGAAGTCATAAATTACATAGGATACAAAGTACATGTCATTGGCCTCCGGGCTCATCTTATACATATCAAATACATTGAGAAAAGTGCACTTATGTACACATTACTTACATGGAATCAAATAATACATATTTTGATACATAAGGTTACAAAGAGGCATTTTATGCTAACACTTGAATAAAATGGAAACTTAAAAACTGTAAGCCATCCAAGGAACAATGAGCACCACGAACCAAGTCTTCATACCTGAAAAATGTCTCCACAATGTGGGTGAGTAACATAAAGCTACTCATAGGAAATGAGCATGCATTGACCTAGCATTTTACAATTTTATCACCTTAAGATGAAACATGTTAAAGGGCTCATGCCACCTAACGTCTATGTTAAGGGTGAGACTCAGGGAGCATCCTAAGCTACCCTAGATCATTTCTAGCATAATTCACATTATCCATGCAATCCAAACAACATAGAAGCATGCTATACAAGGCAACAAGACATAGATTCTCAAAGCCATCAAATTGAAATCTAAAGTACGAATCAACTAAGATGGTTCGTGCCATCTAGCATCTATGTTCCAAATGAGTCTATAAGATCATTCCTAAGCTACATTTGAACATAAAATCACAAATCACGATATCGATGCAATTTAACCAACATTGGAACTTCCAATACAATGCATAAAGCACGAATTCTCAAAATTAACATTTTATACTTAAGATGGAAAATCAAATGTGGAACAACAAGTTACAACATCAATTAGTTATCAACTTAGAATTGAAATGCGAAATCAAACAAGGTGGATACTTGGACATCACACCAGATCAGATCGACACCAAAGTTACTTTAGGGTTACTAGCCCATGGGTAACCGCCCTATGTGCACACTAGACTACATAGAGGGACTATCCCCCCGTACTAGAAACCATAGCTAAACAACGACATCCCCAAGTTTCCAAAATCAACAAGTTGTACAACAACGTATATATCAACATGTATATACAAGATAATCAACTATCAACCACGCACAACCAAATTTGTAAATACATACAATACATGCTCTAAGTCCACCACTATTATGGCATGAAAGATGTCAAAAATAAAGTGTGCAACTCATTACACAAGACAACAATATATTCCATAAAGAAAACATGACCTTATGAATATAAATATAACAATAATGTTACTCAATACTCCAAACATAACCAATTGAATTTACAACAAGTCTAAGTCCATGATCCTAATATAGAAGCAACTTCTAGAACATGCTTGAATCCATGGAACAATAAGATATAGTTTGATTAAATGAAAATAATTAAACTCTCTAGATTTCAATTCATTTCCAAATGGCCTCAAAATAATATATGTTAAAAGACATATCATGTTTATTACATATATCAAATCAAAAGAGCAAAATGAGCAAGACATCATCATATAGAATTTAATTAATTTAAATTAATTAAACCTCTAATTTTCAAAAGTTGTTCAAATGATCCTAAATTAATATATAACAAGCACCAAATCATGGTCATACCATATATCTAGTCTAAAATGGAATAAAAGTAAAATACAATTTACTAGAATTTAAATCAAATTAAATCCATTTAATCTCTAGATTCGAAAACTCATCTAAATCATCCCAAGTCAATATATATCAAAGATCAACTCATGGCCATGCCATTTAACAAGTTTAAAATGAGTTACATGCAAGTTATGATAAATCATAATTTCTCAAATTAGCAAAAGACATGCATACAACTTATATAAGCATCAATAGCATGCAAGAAACAAAAATATAACCCTAAAACATCCCCTACCTCACAAGAGGATTGTTCCTTTTGAATCCAAGGCAAGCAAGCTCAAAATGGCAAACCCTTCTAGGGTTATGAAGAGAAGGATGAGGGGAACAAAAAATATTCACAAGGTTAAGCTTGGAAATCAATGGAAGGCTCACAAAAATCAAAGTCAAAGCTTAAGGCTTTAAGCTTCATCCATGGAGGCTAGGGTTTATGGTGAGGAAGATAATGAAAACAATGAATGAAGTGTGAGTAGAGGAAATAGAAATCCTCCACTCACTATGTGATCTTACACCATGGTTAACACACACATCTATGGTCAATTGCACAAAAACCCTCCTTTAAAACCATAATCCCAAAGTGGCCCAAAGATATTTGCAAGACTAAATTGTGGCCCTACACTTGTCACCAATCCATGGCTCCTTCCTAGGCCTAATCCCACACCTACACTTGTTAACCATCCAAGCCAACAAGTGCACCAATCCTAGGCCAACAAGTGGGTGAATCTTCACCCTCCAAATGTCATCATCCAATGCATCAAAGTGTTTCCACACAATTGTCAACAAGTGGACCAATGAGAGTGTGACACTTGTCACACTTTCAAAAATTGCAAAAAGGTCCTTTTTAAAAATATCTTCCAAATTTAATTGCAAAATGGTCCCCAAGATGAAAAATAATTACTTTATTTAATTACATTAAAACCCCACAAGTTAAGGATAATTACACTAAAGTATGCATTAATGCCCCTTTATAAAAGAAGTAAGCAATTAACATGCTTTTCTAGAAAAGTAAAAATACCACTATCATGGAAATCAAATATCATGAATACATGCAAAACCGGAATCAAATCCGAGCACAAAAAGTAAGGTTGTGCAAGGAAAAAAGGATAAACGAGAAAAAGACAAAATGTGAATAGTGTTCAGAAAATAAAAAATATGGAAATGACACAATCCCCAAAGGAAGTTGTCAATCCAAGAAAAAGAGTCTCAGAAATCATTCCAGAGCACTCGAGATGACATCAAGTGATGAAAAACCGAACACAAAAAGGAAAAGACAATGGGAAAAAAATATCCGTAAAAATCTGAGAAAAGGAAAAGGAAGAAAAATGACCGGGTCATTACAGTCCCAGTGATGAATTTCCTCAATCGAGGCCATCGATGTTGAGTTGGCTTCGGATTCAGGAGTTCCAGCTTGTAATGCATATGAGTTGATGGGAAGGCAGTTTGGTGGCAAAGAATCAGTTGGGTACTTGAAAGTGGATCTTAAAAATTATCTAAGGACGCGAAGACAAAAGGAGCTTCTTTATGGAGAGGCGGCATGGCCTGTGGATTATTTTGAGGAGCGTGGTTGAGAAGATCCGTCATTCTTCTATTCCTTACAATTGGATAACAAGCAAATGATTACGAACATATTTTGGTAAGATTGTAAAATGATCATTGATTATGGTCAGTTTGGAGATGTTATCAGTTTCGACACAACGTACAAAGTGGTACACTGCAACAGACCATTTGCAATTTTATTGGGTATGAATCATCACCGGGAGACCGCTGTGTTTGGAGCAGCCTTAATGTATGATGAGACAGCGGATTCGTTTGTCTGGTTATTTGAAACGTTCTTGAAAGCAATGGGTGGAAAAGCGCCAAAGACAATTATTATGAATCAAGACGCTGCAATGGCTAAGGCATTAAAGCAGGTGAATAACTTTCATGCATCTCTATTCTTGTATTGTCTCATGCTAAAACAATCGTATTATTTCAGTTGTATTTTTTGGATTTGCATATTTGCAACACGGGTATTAAGTTAATTAATCGTGCAAGTCATGCCAGTGACGAAGCATTATTTATGTGTTTAGCACTTAATCAATAATGCGCAGAAGAACCTACTGTTTCTATTTAAACGCGTTGAAGGAATAAAGAAGGTCATCTCAAAATTAATGTTCCAAATTGAGGAGGAGGATGATTTTATTAGGGAATGGGATTTAATGATTGTAGAGTATGGTGTTGCTGGTAATAAGTGGCTTTCCACTTTATTTGATTTGAGACATAAATGGGCCCTAGCATTTGTCAAACACGACTGGTCTGCAGGAATGAGTATCATGCAATTGAGTGAAAGCTTCAATGGTCAATTGAAGTATTACCATTCCAGACAACCTTCTACCAGAATTCTTCACACACTTTGACAGATTGTTGTCTGATAAACGGTACAAGGAGTATGAAGCCGAGTATGACTTGGTGGAGAGGCAACCGGAACTAAAAACAAAGTGCCACATATTACGTCAAGCAGGGAAGGTGTACCCCAAGGTAATATTTCAGCTTTTCTAGGAGGAGTTTTTAGTTGCTCTTGCGAGTTAGGCTGTTATTAGTTGCAGTGACTTGAATAATAATGGACACCGTGTTTATAAAGTTGCTGGTGAGGATGGGTGCAACATCGTGTGAGCAGGACATTTGAAGATGAATTGTCATGCTCATGTTGTAAATTTCAAAGAGATGGCTATTTGTGCAGGCACAATCTAAAAATCCTTAAAGACTGCATGTTTGTGAATGAGTTGCCTTCTCGATATATAATAAAAATGTGGACTAGAAATGTTAGAGATGGCAGGTTGGAGGAAATTGTTTCCACTAACATGAATCTGGATCCTCAACTTGAGATTAGGCGACGGCATAGGATGCTTTGCCATATAATGACTGAAATATCTTCCATTGCATCACATGACCTCGAAGGATATAATGATCTATTAGAAAAAGCACTGGACTAGAAAAGAACAATACAAATAACTTATGGTTGTAGGTTTACAGAGAAAATTGCAAGAGTTAAGGGAAAAAAAAAGGGTGAAAAACAATAGTGGAACAATTCCTATGTCCCTGAAAGTTAAAGATACCTCTAAAGGACGATTTAAGAAGCTGAAACTAGCCATAGAGTTAAATAGTGGGAAAATGAGGAAGTTAATGAAAGTAATAGGCCAGGTAGACGTTACTATCGCACGCACTGCTATTTCATTGTTTAACTATTTGAACATGCGAACAAAATAAATTTGATTTCATAACATTATATCCTTCGTCATAAAACACTCGTGAGTGGAAGAAACTAACATTTTTTTATGTTTTAGATATCAAATGAAACAGTTGTTTTAGGAGATGAGGGTGGCAGCGATAGTCCGTCAACCCTATCCTATATCTTAGTGAATGTGAGTATTATTGTAAGTATATTATATATAAGCAATTATTATTCATTCATAACTATTGGTTAACATGTTGATTATGTTTAAAAGTGCATTGACAGTGTTTAAATGAAATATTTTAGGGTGCAGAAATTCATTTCTCAATGAAGAATCTTACGTAACACCACTAGCTGTATTCCACAACAAACAACTTAATATTGGTGAACCATGTACTTCATCAATTAACCATGTAAGGGTGTTAATTAAGATGCATTATTTTCTTTGTTTTTCCAAAATGGACCTAATTTTTTACATCTAAACAATATATTACAAAGGTCACATGAGACATATCCCACACCAAACTCTGCTCAGACTAGGCAACATCAGAAAAAGTCACACTGAAACCTAATGCAAAACATTGATGTAGATCAGTTGGAATATTATCCATTTTACATTGACCTGCAGCAATAAAATCCCTAAAACTCTTGATCGAAAACTATATGTGATAAAAAAAAAAAAAATTGACATCATTTTACTATCACACCAAGGATGAAGAAAAATGTTGATTTTAGTTCCTTTTTCCAATAACATACTTACAGTTGATCTTCATGAAGTCCCCCAAATAGCAACTATACTCTTCCATATAGAAGAATCTGAAATCTTTGGAATGACCTGCCAAAAGGATGTATTCCTTAAGTAACATGAACAATGTTTATACCCAACCATCGAAATCATATCTTTGGATAGTAAATAATCCAAAGCTAATACACAGTTTTCAGGTAAATCAATATCCAAAACTTTTGTCACCCCCAAACCACCTTCTTCTTTAGGAGCAGCAAGCTTCGTCCGTTTTAAATTCCTCGTATCTTCATAATATCTTCATCATGCCCCAAAATGAAGTTCCTCATTGTCTTTCATATGCTCATAATCATGTATAAAATTCTTTGCCGCATCCTGAATGACAGTGATATTGGTTCTAGCTGTATGCTTTTTAATTTGCTGATGCAAAAACCTTCTGCACCTGTCTTGGTCCTTTATCCATCTAATTTTTGTGACGACCCTGGTTTTTAGGTCAGCGTGTCCTGTGATGAACCGAAGATTGACCCGATAACGGATCCGATATGAGGAAGCGAAAACAGAAAACAAGACTCTAAAAAGTCAAAGTGATCTTCCATGAGCTCGTGGAACTCAATAAGAACTGATGCAGGAGCAAAAGATCAAAAATATGACAAATAAGCCCCCAGGGGCAAAATAGTCATTTATAAAAAATGTGGATTCGAGTGCCACCGAGCACACCGCTGGAAAGACAACAAAAAAATAGTCAGGATGGACTCAAGAATCGCATGATTCAGAGTCTGAACAAAGGAGAAATGGCCTGACGAAGAAAAACGAGCACTTAAGGCTAAAAGGGTAAACTGGTAATTATCCAGAAAGATCCGGGTGCAATCGAGCACACCGTTGGAAAGACAGTAAAAAATTAGTCAAGTTCAAAAAAAAGTTCACTCGATTTGGAGTCCGAACGAGGGAGAAACGAGGGTTTGAAGTTGAGACGTCGCGGCAGCCCGACGAAGGCCATGGCGCACATGGCGCCCATGCATGAGCCCACCGGCACCCATGCCAGCGCCCAATGGCATACACTAGCTGACAGCAAGAAAAAAAAGTGAGGTTCCAGAACTGAGGCTTGAAACGGAGGCTGAACCGAATTTTTCTAGAAAAACACGAAGAAGAAACCCCCCCCCCCCCAAAATCGAGTTTTCTACCCGACTACGCAGACGGAATCGAAAAAAAATCACTGTGAAATCCCCAAAATGCCCCTAGATCAGAACTGAATAAGAGGGTTAAAAGTTGCTACAGTGACTGTCTGCAACTGAGAGCAAAAACGGGCTAGAACATGAATTTTTCTAGAAAAACACGAAGAAGAAACCCCCCTCAAAATTGAATTTTCTACATGACTCGCTAGAATATTAAAAAAAAAATGCAATGTAGAATGCCTGAAATGCCCCTCCACGAAATCTGGTCATGGAGGTCCAAAAAGCTGCTAAAAAAAAAACAGAAAGCTGAACTTTGCGATTAATTTCCGTCACCAAGATGACATTTTCTGAAAAAACACAAAAAAGAAACCCCCTAAAATCACGTTTTCTAAGTGACCATGGGAAGACCGGAATTTATTTCCCTAAGGAAAACCCCAAAGTGCCCCTACACCAGATTATGCAAAAAAATGTAAAATGAATCCCTAGGAGGCTCAAATTGCCAAGGAAGAGGGTTTTCCCAGAAACGATCATGCACGTAGACATAAATGGTGATTTTGAGTGCCCGGGAATGGTTCGCGGCTCCCGGAAATGGCCGAGTCAAAATTCGACCGCCCAAGGGCCAAAAAGGCAAAAATAACTTGAAATGGAAAATATGGAAACCAAAATTAGGAAATGGTTTCAAATGACTGTTTGGCCCTTGGCCACACTTCATACAAGATAAATGAGACCTAGTGGAGGTGCCGGAATACACTTTGCACCACTTGATTTGAAAATAAACCCTTAAAGGCTCGAATTCTACTATTTTATCCCAAAATGCAATATGTGAACTAAAATGCAAAAATGAACACTAAATGGTGTTTGGCCCTTGGCTACACCTCATACATGATTATAGAATCCCTATGAAAAAGAAAGAGTGGAATTCCCATGCCTAATGAAAAAGTTATGAAGAAAAGACTTGTGAATTTTCAATGTTTTCATAATAACTTTGAAAGTAAAGTGCAGAATACATAATACATGTTATTGGCCACCGGCCTCATCTTATACATGTTGAATACAATGAAAATAGTGTACTTATGCACACTTTACATACATAGAATCAAAGCATACAAGTTTTGTCATGAGAACCTACAAATCATCCAAGGCAATGAAACCTTCAAGTCTTGAGTCCTGTAACTGAAATATGCCCCAGTAACGTAGGGGTGAGCAACATAAAGCTACTCGTAAGAGATGAGCATGCATCGACTTAGCATTTTACAATTTTATCACCTTAAGGTGAAACATGTCAGAGGGGCTCATGCCACCTAACGTCTATGTCACAATGAGACTCAGGGAGCATCCTAAGCTACCCTAGAGTAATAATCAACAAGAATCATGATACTTAAACATGTATAAAATGAATCAAGATTTGGATAATTCAAAGAACATGAGAAGAAGGATGCTTGA